GGACCGGCTGCAGCACGGTGGGTTACACTGAGGTTGTTGAGGTTGGTAGGGAGCCCTGGAGGTCATCTAGTCCAACCCGTCTGCTCAGGCAGGGCAACCTACAGCCATTGCCCAAGACCATGTCCACGCAGCTTTTGAATATCTTCCAGGATGGAGACCTCACAGCCTCTATAGATAACCTGTACCAGTGCTCAGTTACCTTCACAGTAAAAAAGTGCTTCCTACTTTTCAGACAGAACTTCCTCTGCTCCACTTTGTGCCCATTGCCTCTTGTCCAGTCACTGGGAAGAGCTTGGCTCTGTCTTCTTTGCACCCCACCACCCGGTATTTGAATATGTTGATAAGATCCCCCTGAGCCTTCCCTTTTCCAGGTTGAACAGTCCCAGGTCTCACAGCCTTTCCTCACAGCAGAGGCAGTCCAGTCCCTTAATTATCATAGTAGCACTTTGCTGCACTCTCTCAGCTGCAGCCTCAGTGTTGAGCAGAGAGGAAGGGTCAGTTCCCTCAACCTGCTGCCAAGATTGTGCATAATGCCTGGGGACACTGTTTCCCTTTTGTGATAAGGGCATGTTGCTGGATCACCTTGGTGTCCACCAGGACACCCAGAGCTTTTTCTGCAAAGCTGCTTTCCAGCTGGTCAGCCCCCAGCATGTCCTGGTGCATGGTTATACCTCCTATCACTCCTTTTACACAAAATACCTGTGCTCAACCACTGTGGTCTGCCACTTTCACATCCCCATTGTATCAGGGTTCAAAATACCTCCTGCAACCGTGACCCACTTGGAGTCCCAACTCCCCAGTTGCTCACCTGCCCCTAAGCTCCACAAGAGCAGACAGCTGTGAGGACAGAACTGCCAGGCATGGGCAGTTTGTCAGGCTCAGGAGCTCCTTGATCTGCCAGAGACTTTTCCTGCATCTCCCTAGTTCTTGCAGGCATCTCAGTATTTTTCACAGCAGAAAATCTCATGGCCTGGATTATCACAGCAAACTGAGCTTTAAATGAAATGAGGAGCTGTGAAATACAGGGGAGGGTCAGGTCCTTGGGGAAGGAAGGAGTGTGTGGATGGTGCAGGAGCCCATGGTGGGCCATGGAGCCCCTGGTACTACCTGGCTGCTCATTGAGGTGATGGAGGTCTCTGGTCCAAGCTGACAGTGCTGTGACATTAGGTCAGGTTTCCCCAGACTGCCTAGCCATGTTTATGTCCCTGCCATGGGGTAAGCAGCACAGGGCACCAGTGTGTGTAGATGGGGCAAGTCTTCTTGGCCAGTGCTAGGACATCTTGTTCCTGTTGCCCCAGGCGATGATCATAGTCCTGAACCTCTGGTCCTGCCTGGCTGACTCCTGTGCTCTAGAACAACACAAGCACATCAAGTCCCTGGAAGAAGGCAGGCTCCGTTCTCCCCACTTGTCCAGTCTTGTCCCCAGTGGCCTGCAGCCTAGCTGGAGACTCCTTTCTGTGCCCACAAAAAGAAGGAAGTGCTGACCCTGCTTTGAGCAACATTTTCTAGTGGTAGGTGTCCCTGCCCATGGCAGGGGGCTTGGAATCTAAAGTTCCTTCCAACCTGGGTGATGCTGCAGGGCTCCTCAGAGAGCCACACGAGCCTGGTTGCTCTTTCCGTCCCCAGAGAGGGTAATCCAAGTGTGGCTGCACTGGAAGCTGTCCGTGTCCCAGCAGGTCCCTGGTGGCCAAAAGCCCAGATGAGGAGTCCTGGGCTGATCTCTTCCTCCTGCTCTCTCTTTCCAGATGCTGCGCTGCGGAGCGTCCTGTAGCAGAGGGCTCACTCAGATGTCCTGAGCAAGGGGGTCCCTCTCCCACACACTGGTCTGTGGCACTTTACGGTTCCCCCTCCTGCTGCTGCATGGGCTGTTCTGACTCCGACTCCACTCGGAGTCCAGGCAAGTGAGGCTCCATGAGGCACATCCACACAGAGACCTCCCTGCCCCCGGAGCACAGCACGGACCCCAGCCTGTCCTCGCCTGGTGGAGAGGGGCCCTTGGAGCCCCCCTCGCAGCAGTGCACCCACCGCAGCATCCTCATGGGCTACAATGAGACGGAGATCTAGCGCCAGAAGGTTTACCAGGTCTCCATCTTCTCCCACCTCTCCAGCTCCCCTGAGAGCACGGAGCAGCGGGCAGGCAGCCGGCCGGCCATCAAGAGGGGTTACCCTGAGCAGCGGGTTCCCGAGGGGGGACGAGATCCCAAACGAACTCCCTGGGGTGGCGGGGGGGGGACCAGCAAACGTGACGGGAGCCCCGGGCAGGCTCCTGTGGATGATGACAACACCTTTGAAGATGGTCTGCTGGTGGAGGAGCTGTCCCTGTGTGGCTCTGCCCAGCACTTCTCCCACAGCGGGCTGCGGGTGGTGGAGCACCGCTGCGAGGGCAGCCCAAGCCACAGCCCCAAGGCCAGCAGGGAGGACAAGTCCCAGGATGTGTCCTTCTCCCCCTGGCCCCAGCACATTGCTTGCAGTACTTTGCACAAGAGAGATAGTTGTACTGTCTCATCGGGGGATCAGCCTACAGACTACGGAGAGAATGGGGAACGGGCAAGTGGCCACAACTTACTTCACCTTGATTTGCACAATATTGCACAAACAGCCCAGTTGGACTCCAGTGAGAAGAGAGAGAAGCCAGGGAGCAGCCCAACTTACAGCAGTGGGGCTGGTGGGGAAGAGGAAGGGCCGGTGGTGGCCAGCAGGAGCAGTGAGCCCCCAGCTCTGCAGACAGTGCTCAGCCCTGAGCCCAGCAACCTGAGCTCCCTGGAGAAAACTCCCTGTGGGAGCAACCAGCTCAGTGGTAGCAGCAGCTGCCCAGCCAAAAGGAAGCTGCTGCCCGCTGGTGAGGTTGTGGCTGACTCCTGCTCTGAGGATGAGGGCCTGTCCCCTCCAGCAAGGAAGAAGAGGGTCCTGCCATGCCATCCAGTGCCCACGTCCTGCCGCAGCACGGATGCCAAGGGGGCCCCGTTCTGGAATCACCTGCTTCCCATGGCCAAGGTGAGCATCAGTCATGGGCATGTCTCAGGGTCACCCAGAACTTGAAGCTGTCCTTGTTGGTGATGTTGTTCATGGTGGCACAGGACCCTGTCCTGTCCCAGTGCTGTGGAACTGGTGTGAGCAGAACAGTGGCTGACAGTCAAGCCCTGGGACTCATGGTTTATAGGCTGTCACCAACCCCTGACACATTGTAATCACTTGATCCTCTGCTTGCAACCAGCTGTTAGCCTGGAGAGCCTTGCCCAAACAGGACACGACCTCCCTGTGACAGTGAGAGTTGGGCCACAGTCAGTGTCTGACAACTTCATGTTAAGCCAGCCTTACCAGCAGGCTTGGGAAGAGTGGCTGTCTTCTGCCTGCCTTATGAGGAGGGAGGCAGAGGAGTGGGATGCTTGGGTCCCTGGCCATGATATCCATCAGGGCAAGGGTTTAGTGGTAGGGAGTGGGAGCGAACATGCTCTGCCCAGGAAGTGGGAGCCTCAGTGCTGTGTGCAGAGATGGCACTGGCTTTTCTGAATTTCTGGTGTGCCTGTGGGATGTCTCCGGGGTGCCACAAACTCAGAAATGAGGCAGACTCCAGAGGTTTGCAAACACCCGGGCAGCTCAGGAGCTGCCTGCAATTAATTCCCTGCTTACCAGCCCCTCCTGCCAGCTCCCTAGATTAGTCATGTCGTGCCAGCTGAGGCTGCACCAGAC